TCAATTTATCCGTTCGCTTCAATATGTTGGATTCATGTTAATGTGTATTTAAAGACCATGAATGAAATTCTGATTCTGATTCTGAAGACATTTACATTTGTGGGGAAAAAAATTGTCTTGTCAACCAAAAATTTCGCGACCCCCCTGCAATACCTTCGCGGACCCCCTGTTGAAGACCTCTATATTATGAAGTTAGATGCTGTAGAAACTGTAGTAGAGCAATCCTGCCTTGAGAGTCATGTTTCCATATTTCGATTCCGGTTGCAGTTTTAAACAAGCGCTAAACCTTGTAAATTGAAACAGAAAAAAACAAAGGGCAAAAAAATACTTGGACGTTTGATAAAACAAGTGTTTGTTCAAAAATCTCTAAACATCATTTCAGTTTTTAGAATTCAAGGCTGAATAGAAAGCTGAATTTAAATTTGGACTTCTGGTTTGCAAGTAAAGACTACAGCTCGAAAGCCTAAAGAACCGTTGTAGGATTAGAATTCCATTTGCAAATTCCATAATCAATATCCATTCATGTTGAAATGGTAACAACCCACAGGAACATCCTTTTAGAGATCTCAGGGGCTCGTCAGCTGTGGTCGTCGACAGCTGCTGTTTGTTTCGTATGTTGAGCAGATGAAACAGATGTTGCTTTTGGGTTTGCTACCAATTATTTACTAGGATCACTCAGTGAACGATCAAAAGGTACTGAAGTGACAGCGCGGCAATGAACACAATATCTACACACAAACGTGGGAAGATAACCTAATCTTGAGTACATGGTATCATATCCATGACACACACATAAAATGGTAACGTTGTTAGCATACTAACCATAGCGTTACGAGGCGAGGAGGTGGGCCTTAACCCGGCGCTCTGCCCCGACAGACGCACATAATAATGAGGTTTTCTATTTAGATCAAAACCCACAACTAAATCTCATTAGCACTCATCAAAACCAACCGTTTTCCCTTGAACAAACAACGACTTTGACACAACTCTGCATTATGTGAAGAGAGTCATGAATACCTCCAAATCTCCCAGAGGAATTGAATGTCCTTGTAGCAGGACATTCGTAGGTGTTTCTTTCCATGTAAGCACACACAGGCATCAGAAAAGCAGACAAAAGGGGGAAAAGGGACACGTTTCAAAGAAGCCTGTGATACCTCCTTGATCCCAGTTGGGTGATGCACCTCCATTCCTTTGTGTGCCCTTTCATGACCCAGGTTTAACCCTTGAGTTGATATGCGTGTTGTATGCTTTAAGGTGGGAAGGAAAGCTCTGTTTTATTGTTGTATCGATTGTCTGCACAGAACGTTGTCTTAGTGTAAGTGTATGAAACCAGTCCCCATGTAGTCAGTCGATGAGCATCATGACGAAACGGATTTCATCCCGATTGCTTCATTTATTGCAGATTCTTTGAAGCAAGCTTTCATTACTGCTTACGGCATATTGTACAACTTTAGACAGCTTTTGGGGATTTTGTAGACGTACTTGATAGGAAATAGCTCTTGGAAACATTGGCCATCTTGTCTTGATCGAGCTCCGATCCACAAGTAGGCTACGTGTGTAGTTGTGGCCTGCAGTGTGTGTGTGTGTGTGTGTGTGTGTGCGCGTGCGCGTGTGCACGTGTGCAAAGATGGATGGTCGGCCTTGTCCTCGGTGCCGACCTCGGAGGTGATAAATGCGTCCCTGACCGCTCCAGACTGTGTGACGCTGTCTCCGATGGTTAATGGCTGCGAAACGGGTGATGAAGCACATGAATGATGTGCACCTCCAGCCTCCATCTCCCATGCACCCCGCAGCTTCACGGGGCTGCACAGTGTGTGTGTGTGTGTCCATTTGGTTTCCAGCACATGAAAAATCTTCCTCTTGTTCTGCTGCCGAGGGTCTTCACTCAGATTCGACGCCGAGGTTTTTCGTAGATGCAGAGATGTGACCGCTGCTGTGAAGAGCGCAACTGATTGGCACACGTGTTCTGCATCCAAAGCGACGCTCCGTGATGCTTCAGCTCTGCTGCGTTCACTTGCTACCTGTTCTTGCCTCGAAAATGTCTCCGCACTCTTTGATAAATATATATTTTGCTCATTCATCTAGACGGCTGAGCTGTGTTTTTTTTCTCTGAGCGAGGAGAGGACAACAGCGTGAAGGTGCGGGGAATGAAAGAGGAAGTCACTTAAGATGAGGTTGAACATGGCACAGAAATAATGTTTCCCCCGGTCGGCCTGTCACTCCCGGTGATGTAGGAGCAATTTTCCGTGGCGAGCAGATCTTTCTCTTTGTCTCTTACCCAAAGTGTTGCCACGGCTCACCGAGGACGACTGTGTTCCGAAAGCTGAAGCCGTCTCCTTGATTGAGTCAACATGTTGTCAAGGACCGGCACAGACTGTGACTCAGTGATGCTGCGACAAAAAGTTATTTTATTATGGTTTCATCTTTTTAAGGTCGGACAGCGATAGAAAATGAGAGAAGAGTAAGTAAGTAAATAATAATGAGTTAATTTGCGCTGCTGTGCCTCCCGAATGAGCACAGCGTCTCTTAAGAGGGGATCGCCGCAGGCTTTAAATGGACTAAATGGCCCAAAACTCATTTTACCTCATTAATTTTGTATTATTTCATGTGTTCTCTTATACACAAAATTATGGGAGGGAATTAAATGAGTGAGACCAGAGTCCCACAAATTTTAGTAGTATTTTGTAATCACGACTGAAACAATCGGACCTGGAGACGGAGCAGATGGTGCTTTGAAACGCCACAGGAGTCACGCTGCGTCCTTTGTGATCCCACAGAGACAAAAGACCACGGCTAATATTTCCAGTTTGCTGCATAATCAGCCAGCTTGATTTCCGTTTCACGGTGAGGCTCCCTCGGTGGTCCTTCCACTGGTGTTTTTGCACCACCTTCCTTCTGGCCCGGGGGCAGGAGGCTGATGATGGAGGGGCTGGACTGCTCGGCACGGGGGGGGGGGCCTTGGGGACCCACCGCTGGACTGGTGACAGATGGGGGAGCAGGAACACTCAGTCCGTGAGCTGCTTTTTCCCGCTGTTTCCTCTCTCATCTCAACTTGTTTTTTTCTCTCCTGTTTTCCCTCCGGACCGAAACCGAATCAGTTCTTCTTAAGACGAGAGAGTCTTATTCGTTTACCTGTCAGTTTCCTTTTGTCTTCTTCCATGGTTATCGCTCGCCCATCCTTTTCCTATCACTGTGTTTCCCTTTTACTGTCCTTTTATTTGTTCCTATAATAGGCTTGTAGAAGAAAAAATCCTACTTGGGCTCCACACGGGACTCTTGTGATTGACACCAGTCCATCCATGGAAGCCCGCATGCATATGGGGGACACGCACCTGATTACACTCCCGGCACTGACAGCTGTGCACGCTCACTGCGACGCACCTGGACCCTCCTGTAAGGGGGAATTAAGAGCTGTACATTCTGTCCTCATTTGTTCACACGCTGCAGAGCTTCGCCCACACACACAAACACAAATACACAATCACAGACACCCTCTCATCATGTTTTTCACACGCTCTCCAAATCTAAAGCCGGCCTTTTTGTGATTCCACCGCATAACCCGCCCATCCACGACTTCTCAAGCTTCTCATTGATTCCATTTCAATCTCTACTCGAGGACAGAAAAAGCCTTCTCCTACTTTCAAAATTAGCCCGTGGGCCTCAGCTGACCTAAAAAGGCCCCTTTTAGAGCTGTAATGAGTTAGCATGGTGACCTAGCTCCACATGCTAACACAGTGATTACATTACATTACATGTCATTTAGCAGACGCTTTTATCCAAAGCGACTTACATTACACTTTTAAACCCATGGCTTTTTCACATTTTTGCCCGGGGAGCAATTAGGGGTTAGGTGTCTTGCTCAGGGACACTTCGACATGGAACATGGGGCAGCCTGGAATCGAACCAACAACCTTGTGCTTCCCAGCACACCTTCTCTAACCCCTGCGCCACGACGCCAGTGATGTCACTCATCACCCTTTATTCCAGTTGTCTTTGGGACATTCGTGATCCACAGAGATTGAACCCTCTGTTGACTTTCCTCTGTTTTTCCTTTTTTAAGTGAGATGCATCAACTACTGCAGGAATGACCATGAGCGTTGGTGCACACATGCATGGTGGCCAGAGGATGAACCCTCAAAGACTTTATTTATCTTGTGACCCTTTATCCTAAGCTTTTATTGTCAGCAGGTTGACTGCCGATAATAAAAGTTTGGTTTTCGTAACAATCCCAGGTCTCAGGAACCAACAGGTTGTATCGTACGACACTCATTGCAGTGTGAGTTAAGTTATTAATCGTGCTTTTTAATTGAGTACTTTCGACCATGTCTGGTGTTTTTCTACCCGTCGCCGAGGCTCCGCAGCTTTTTCCCCCCCGGAGCCTCCTCGCTTCGCTCACGCTTCCCGGACTCCACAGCTGGCGGCGTTTTGACAACGGCGTCGCCGCGGCGGCTTTTGGGAACGCCGACTGTCTCACGCTTTTTACGCTGCAACTTTGTCATAACCAGATGAGCTAATTAGCCCCGAGCATCGAGATGAGTCATGTGGAGGCCCGGGAGAGGCTCTGCGAAATGTGAAACACAAGAGATTAAGTAAAAACAAGCCGCATTAGACCGAGACAAGAGGTTCGTCTCATTTCACAGGTCTCAAACGAGTATTATAGTGACGAAAGAAGATCGTAGAGATGATGAATCCTAACATGCCCAACGGTCATGTCTTCCACGCGCTGAAGGGCAGATGACAACACGACACACCAGCGTGTCTGTTCAGCAATTAGCGGCCGCCCTGCTCAGCGACACTCTGGACCCGGCCCGTTCGGGGGCCGCGGCCAAAAAACCTCCAGGTCACCGCTGTCTCTTCAGTTTTGACGGCGGAAGCAGATGGCCGTGTCTGTGGGCCTTTCCTCCGGAGACTCCGGAGACGTGTCGTGTGCGGCCACTGCACTGTTTGTGTCACTCGTTTTTCATTTCTAGCTTTTCTCTCTCTGTCTCCACCAACAACAGGGGCCACCAAAGACATGGGCAAGATGCTCGGCGGGGAGGAGGAGAAGGATCCCGACGCTGCCAAGAAAGAGGAAGAAAGGCAGGAGGCGCTGAGGCAACAGGAGGAGGAGAGGAAGGCCAAATACGCAAAAATGGAGGCAGAGAGAGAAAACCTCCGGCAGGGCATCAGAGATAAGGTGAGCAGGGGTTCTGAGTTAACGTGTGCGAGAAAACGCCAAACCAACAGGAGAGAGACTGAGCAGAGGTGAGAGTAAGCTTTTGCTGATATGCTTTTAGTGAAGACGTCTGCAAATTCATACATTTGTAATATCCAACTAAAGTTGTTTTATTTTTATTACTGCCAGCATCCCTTTACAAACGGCACTCAAAATGACCGTTTGCCTCACTGACCCGGTTTTTTAATCTCCAGCCGAGATGTTCTCGGCCTGTCTCTACGATGAATTTACGCTTACTATTTAATTCATCTGTAATCAAATTTTAATTGAAAGAATCAAAAGCGCGTGCAGCTGAGGTCAGACGTTCCTCGCGCTAATTCGCCCGAATATGCGACTTGAAGGCCCTGCGACGTGCTGTCGAGCTGCGCGCTCGTGAAGCTATCTCTGGTGCACATGAGCCCTTCCTACCGATGAAGCCCCACCGGGTTTAGTTTGGGAAGAATCGAGGGAGGAGGGAGACGGAGCGATATGACAGCGCGTCTCTGGAAAGTGTTTGATCGTCGCCAGTGGAGAGCGGCTGACTAAGCGTGACTGTCGAAGCGCCTGTTACGGTGGAAGTGGATCGGGAGAGAGGAACGGCTGGGCGGGTTGTGAGAGACGGCGGCGTGGAAGGAAAATGGAGAACCGGATTATTAACGGGTTATTTCTCAGGTGTTGAACTAACATGATGATTGCAATAAAATGCAATTGGCCAGGCGCAAAAAAAAGTTACTCTAAAGGAGGATTAATGGTATATGCTGATATTGCAGCCGTAAAAATGAGTCCAAGTATTAAATATAAACTCATAGTTTTGTGAAAACCTTCCTAGCCCAAAATCCAACCAACCAGTTGATTTATCTGCTCGCTTTGGCCTCGAAAGATCTTCCCTCACAAGGTTTCATCATTTACTGTCTATTCTTTTCCAAACGACTTTCAAGACTTTAGCCTCAACACTCGTACATTAAAGAGTGACTCATATTCTCCTCCGAGGCGTTCCGTCTTTACTAAGAGGCGCTTTTGTCTTCACAAAAGTGGTTCTAGGGACTGCAGACTTAAATGAACGGCCAACACGTTGGAACAAAGGCTAATGGAAGGTTGAAACGTGTTTGCGTCCTTTCTGGCTTCATTGATTTCTCCAATAACCCGAGTGCAGCCCTCTAACCACACACACACAGACGCTCGTTTCTGGCCCCCCACGTACATCCTCACGGCACAAACGGATGCTATTATTCCTCCGTCGGGGTATTTATTGCTGCAGAATCACATTAACGTGTTCCTGGCGGAGCAGCAAAGAGGTCACGGAGGAGTCCGGCTCATTTTCCACATCTCTGCCTCAAGATCAACCATCACTCCTTCCCTGACCTTCCTGTGCCCCCGCCAACCTTTTCCCTCGCTAGCCAACTATATTCATTTCTCAGGGACTCAAACCAGGTCCATGCGAGCTGAAACTATGCTGGAGGAAGCGGTGAACACAGAACGCAGTCAAAACAAAAGCCCACAAGATGCGTGCTACTGTTTCTCAAATGATCATTATTACTGGTTAATGGGAAATGAAGGAAGCAGCCTTTAATGGATCATTAGTGGTAAATTACGTTTGTAATATTATGCCACTAAGATCGTTGCCTCGTATGCTGGTTCCCGCGCGGTTGCAATGAAAAAGTGTCACATGACGCGGTAACGTAGCGCGACGTCGTCAGTGAGAGCGACTCTGCTGACGGTTTCCCGCGGGACCTGAAGCCCGGCCCCCTCTGTGAAGGTCAGCGCCGTGGATCTTAAAATGATGAAAAGAAACATGCTTTGATCGGGACTTTAAAAAATACCAAAGAAATCAAGGGATGAACTACTTGCTTTGCCAATTCCTTTTAGAAATAGAAAGAGGGGATTTTCCAGTGGAAGTCTGCTCTTTCGGCCTCTGGATTTAATTAAGGTCTGTTTGGGCTCTGGGATTTATTAGCTAATCCTTAGCGTTGACCATTACACCGGCTGTGTGCCTCCGCCTGTAATTGGGACATAACACATCCAGGAAGGTCAAATTAGACCGAGCAACTCTCATGTGTGCTCCTGCAAATAGGCACAAGCACGGAACCCAAACTTATCTTCAGCTCCGGCACTGCCTCCAACCGCCGGAATTCATTTCAACTGCAAAGTTTCTCATTGAATTGGGAAATGTAAGTGTAACACGATGGGTGACGAGCAAGACGCTCAGTGATTCAGACGTTTATAGAAGGAGGAAGTTCTACCGCTTGCAGTGTTAAGACTACAGAGAATCTGGCTTTAAAAGGGGTTTGGTTACATATGTCTAAGAAAAACAATTAAGAAAGGCACGAGGAAGCATCTGTGCAAAAGTCTTTTGAGGGAAAGAAAGAATTAGGGAAAAGCACTTCATGCGCGTTCTTGCAGAGTGTCAAACAACACGATGGTGGTGCTCTTGTGTGTGAGCGCCAATTGTGCAGAAGGAGGCCCGTGTGGGAAACGGCTAGCTTGGTTTCCTCACAGAATGATTGTGTCTTTAGGGCAAGTAATGTGGTGACATTATTTGTGTTGCCAGCACGGTGACCTCCTGCAGTTTTCCCTTTCGTTCGGTCCCTACTAGCTGCCTAGTGCGAAGAGATGAGAGTCGTTTCAGAGTCACAATCAGCTGTTTTGTGAGTCACAATCGGAAGTTTTCCTTTGCTCATTCCGTAGAAGTTTCTTTATTTCTGGTCCGCGGTGTTGGATGGGTCATACATTATGTCACATCATGTGACGTGTGTATTTTAGTTTGCAAAACCCACTTATTTCAACTCAAGGTAAATGGTACCTTCTGCTCTAAAGGCCGTCTTCTCCTGGTTTCAGTACGGCATCAAGAAGAAGGAGGAGAAGGAAGCCGAGGCAGCGGCCGCCATGGAGCAGGCCTCCGAGGGCAGCCTCACTCGCCCCAAGAAGGCCGTGCCCACCGGCTGCGGCGACGAGGAGGAGGAGGAGAGCATCGTGGACACGGTCATGAAGTTCATCCCGACCCCGCTCATGGATATGTTCAACAAAAAGTAAAAAAAATAAAAAAATACGTGTTTTTGGAGTTAAAATGAGATTTGACTCCCGAAAAAGCGTTCATCTCACCGAGACCACTGCCGTAAGCGCCCCCCGTCCTCCGCCCAAAACCTGCAGCCACACTTTTCTCCACCCGCCGACCTCTGAGAACACAACTTCTAGGTGCCCTGCCATGGAGCAACGTGGCATGATTTTTGCCCCTTGATTGAGAAAGGCGATACATACTGCATTTTTTCACTGGGAAATCTCATGCCATGTTTTACAAATGTCAGGCACTTAGAATCCAATCAGATATCACCCGTCAGCCCCCCTTTTTTGTTTGTAAATAGCCTCGAGTTATAAAAAAAAAAACTATACATAAGTGAAATATGACACACAACAAGATGACGAAGAGTATAAGCCATATTTTTAACTTTTAAGAAATTATCCAAATCCTATCAGAATTTGACTGAATTTTCCTGTTCTGTTTAAGCTAATATTTGATACATACAGTGTATATAGATACTTGCATTTTTATTAGTTCTCCGTTTCTCACAAACTGTGCGTCTCGCTCTAATTGGTTTATTGTGAATGTGTTCTATGAGCACTGGTGCATTCCAAACAAAAACTGTAAATCCGGAAAGCAAAGGAAATTTATTTCATATTTCTGTTGTTGTTTCTTTCAGCATGCTGTGGGCTTTTGTGAAGTGAAGTACACATTTGGTTAACATTTCTATCGTCATGATGAAGCGAAATACATTTATATTTGAGGCAATAACTGATTTTACATTAGATTTAATTCACATCTTGTCCACCATGTACTTTGTGACTAAAATGTTCCTCCGTGGGGGAGCATGTAAAAATGATCTCCATTCAGGATGTTTTTTCTCAAAGCAGTGAGACCATAAGCTCCGTCGGTCTGCGTGTCGGTGGTTCGGCCGCGGTGGAGAGCGTCCCTCGCTCTGCTTCTGCAGGACGACGTCTCCATTGTACATCAGTCCCGTTGATCTCATTTTTTAAAAATTCCCATTCATTCTTTTGTAAAAAAGCTTAAGAAAAAAAACTTCCCAAACACAACATTGGTGTGAACACACTATATGTGAACAGACAGTGACAATAGTGCAATATATTGTTGAAATGAAGTTGCCCTGTGTCCGTTGCTTAAACTGATGGGAGTGAAGTCCCAAATCAGCAATAACAGACAATCTTCATCGTTGCGTGTTTAAACTCGTTCATGCGTCAGTCGACATTTAAAAAGGGAGCAAACGTGTCTGCAGAGTTCAGTCACCTGTTGCAAAATGTGAGAAATCACAACCCAAGAGGTCAAACCAAACTGCAGACATTAAAAATAGATGAGGAGAAATCAAAGGAACTAACGAGGGGAGTTTCTTGACCGTAACATAATGTTTACCTGCTCTGTATTTTGTCCTTAAATGTAGTGAAACTAATTTGAAAGGATGAGGACGAAGTCAAATGTTTCTCCATATGCCTTGTTTTTTATTCATAGATTTCTCCTTCATTCCACAGTGTCTTGTTAAACATTCCAGATATTTCAAACATTCCACCAGACTTGTGCTGGTAAAACACACAAACGTGGATATTTACAGTTTAGAGTATGCCTTAGACTTTAAGCACTCCACGAAGAAACATACATTTGATGTTCTTATAACCTGAAAATAGACACTAGAATGAATCCAATATAAAGATTCACGACTTGACCAAGTAAACTCCAGAGTTATTTTAGCTGCCATGTACAGGAAGAAAAAAATGTAAATCCCTCATGGAGTTTAAGGGAGAGCTTAAATGTGCAATTAGCAGAGATCAATTTGTGAAACAATTTTGTTGAAATGTTTTTGTGATTCACGTGAGCACAGTAGCCGTAGGCGTAGTTAAGGTTTTCTAAACCACATTGCCACTGTTTTTAATAAGCTAGCTGAACATGAAATAACACTAATTCTGAACGTGTGCGTTCCTGTGGCTTAGAAAAGGGAAATCTAGCTTCTGCCAACGCTTCGTGAGGTTTGTAATCATGTTGAATATTTAAAAATACGACATCCAAGGTCACATTTAGAGCACACACATGGAATTTCCTGGGATTGTATCGTCCTCCTTGCAGATAATTGGCAACTGATTGTTCTTTGCAGTTGTGGAACCAACCATCAACAACACTCAAATCCATTATCCGATCGAACCAAAGAATAGTTCTGGTAGTTGTAGATTAAGTCACAGAGGTTTCATTCTATTTATTTACTGCAATTTATTTATTTTGGAATTCTCAGGTATTTTAGCTGCAAAGTAGAAGTTCGAACCATAACTAGCCTTCTCTTTGCATGATTACCCTCACACTCAAATTGAATAATTTCATTAGCATGGGCCCAGCAGGCCTGTCCATCAACCTTATTTTATGAACGACATAATTCTTGTTTGGCCCGAGAAAATTCCAGAAAAAGCTCCAATTACTGCCCAGCCAACCAAAGTGGAGGACTTTCCCATCAAAAAATCCTAGCAAAGGACGGTCTGATATCAGACTCCCCTTTGCACGACATCCACCAACACCATCACGAGCCCATCCATCATCACCCCGTCAATGCATATCGATTGCGCTCTAAATGGCTTGTAGACCACTGCCCAAACCAACTACCCGAGTCGCGCGTAATCGACACTCCAGCTGTCCAGCTGGCTCCGTGTCAGAAATCCACCTCAGCGTTCATTTCAGAGTCCATTGTGACGCTCACGCGGCCATTAAAATGACTAAAAAACTGCCTGAAAAATACAACTCTTAATACTGAACAACGTACTAGTTTGATGTGACCTGAATGTAAACTGTCTGATGTTCCTCCCTTCTTGCATCTGTCTTTCTCTGTTCTGTACGTGTTGAGAAGATGTTTACTTTCTCGTCCGTAGCCAGTCCTGTTTCTGTCCTCTGGTGGTTGGTATTTAAAAAAAAAACTCTCTCTCTCTATATATATATATATACATATATATATATATAATTATTTTATTTTTTTTGTGAATTATTTTGTACTGCGGAATCGTCTCGCGCCCTTCTCCGTCCTTCTCTCTCTCTCTCTCTCTGTCTCTCTCTCTATTTGTTGACAAAAATGTATGCATGCTTATGGTGTGCGACGTAGGCAAGGTTGTTGATGATCGTTTTGTGTCTCCTCCGTGTTTCGAAGCTCCACCTGTTAGCCTCACTGCATGCCATGTTAGACAGATATGTCAGTCTGTAACTTTGCTGCAAAAATTGGAATCACCGCACACTCTGAGAATAAAAGTGATTTCATATAATTCTTCATCGTCCTGTGTTTCTGCATTTAAACAGTCATTTAGAAAATAAATAAATAGAAGAAGCAGCGGAAGTGAAGAAGCGTTTGTTTCTGGTTTAGAAAGGAAACCTCAGACTCGACCCGCGAGTCACGGGTCAGACGCCATTGCATGGCATTCCGTTGGGAAGTATATGTGCTGAGACCTTCAATGTATATCACATGTTACTGTTTCTGTCACCTCAACATGGCTGTGAATTTCAACATCTATTCAATAAAAGCGAAAAGGGCTGTAAACAGAAAGCACTGTGTCGTTCAAATCGTGATTGGGACTTTTCCAGAAACAGACATCGTGCCACAGTGACGGGAACTTTAAAGTGATGCAAACGCAGCGTCTCTCTCACAGCAGTTTGTTTGTCGAAAGTGGATCTGTGATGTGTTTGATTGCCAACCGTTTATATCAAACAAATCCATTGAAAAGATATTGGAGAGGATTATGGATGGGAATGACTTTAGAGTGTTTTTTTAATTCCGCACTATAAAACTAAATTAATTCATTATGATGCTTTGACATTTTCAGGTTTATTGCTTGTCAGATTTTGGGTTTGTACTCAAAACGAGGTTTTTTCAAAAGGTTGCTGGCGTCGCCCTTCAGCGTGCGCGGCGCAAACCTCATTTATTTACCTTCCACTGGTACGTTAGTGAAATTCCCTGGTAAAGGTCAGCTGTGTTTTCACGACAAGCCATAAGTTGCTGAAAAAAACCCATTAATTCATTTGATGGCTAGTTGGTATTTTTGTCAGTCAACCTGGTGGTTTTCCGCCGTGCTTCAATGAGCACACGTGCGTTGCGGAGCAGGAGGGAACCAAATCTCTCCCACGAGTGATTTGTGCTCTTCTGGTAACTCGACGAAAACACCCCGACTTAACCTCACCACCAACGCATCCTCTTTCTGAAGTATTTTTCTGCAGTGTGGAGCAATAATGGCACTAAATCCACTTTTTTCACTTTGAAAACTTAAAAAACTGCAGAGCCTCTCTGCGATTCGCTGTGCAGCTGGTTCTTCAACACTTCAGGCTGTTGAGCACACACGAGGCTCCTGGCTCCTCCTTTGCGATGAAAGTCCACAATTCTCCCTGCAGGAAAATGGAGCTATAAATCAATTCCATTAGTATTCATGCTCTGAAGTAGACTTTTCACATCGAGCTTCCTTTTGTGCACTGAGAGCGGTACTCTGGCTGCCTGGCTGCAGGGGAGCCGTCGCTGTGTTAGTGCCCTGTGGACATGCAATAGTGAGAATCAATTAACTGCTCTTTTTTTTTTTTCTTTTTCTTGCGGGGTGGATGGATTTCCCACGTGGACAGAATCATTGTGATCAGTCACTATTTAGCTGTTCTGACTGCTGATACTACACTCTCAGGCGACTGCGGCGTTGACATTGATGACAGATTGACCGCTGTGCTGATCTGGAGCCTCCATGGGCTGAGCTGAGCGTCAATGGTACCTTTCAACATCGTAACGGGATGTTGAACATGGATCAGAAATTGCGTTGTATTCCAGTAAAAAGCTGCAGAGTGGGGAGCCAATGGTCGTTACCAAGCCTGAGTAAAGTTAGCTACGTTAGCCTGAACACTGAGAAGAACCCAACAAGCTACAAAGGCATTCAGAGAGAGCAGACCTCTGACAAAGCCAATTCCATAAGTGAGAAATAATGCGTCTATCCCCTCGTGCTTTGGAGGGGCTCCAAGACTTAATGGGTTATGTCTCGACAAAGTCTCACGAAAATCCAGTCTTGGCACGATGCTACGGATCCAAATACTGTTCCTGGCAAGACCTTTATGTGTAGCATTCTAGGATCACCCAGGGGTCTGAGCCGGGGGACCATTTGAAGAAGGGTGCATCAGTGGTGTAGTCTATATTTTTGTTGTGAGTATACTGTGATTTTTCCCCCTGAAGCCAAGCGTTGGCCATGTATGAAACCTTGAGTTTGAGAATTTTTGTAAACGAACCCGCCCTAAAGCATAATCCTTATTTACAAAATGAACATTGTGCTGTCTTAATGAAGACTTTGAGAGCCAAAAATCATTTTACAATATTTACTGAGGTAAAGAAATCGAGAGACAAGTGGAGCCATTTTCTAGGAGACCCGAATACAATCACACTTCTTTTTCCGGCCAGAGCAGTCGCCCCTTTGCTGTTCAGTAGAGAATACAAATTGCTGCCTGATCGTGACCATAACAGCTAAATTCTTGGTCTCGCCATTCAATGTAGTGGGATCCATAGTTACTCCTACTGCAAAGGTAATAAGAGAGAAAGGAGCTGACAGCACAACGACGTTGTTATCTAGATAGCGTGCACCTTTTGTATAATTTAAGCTAAAGCCTTGAGCTTGTGGACAGTAGACAGAAACAAAAGCAGCACCTCACGTGCAGTTCTGTATGTTCATGACACAGCTTTGTGACACACAACAAGGTCTGGTTATGTCAAGTGGCACACGACCAGCAGTACTGAATTTCCATATTGCAAGACTAATCCTGCAAAACCGTGGACCAACCAGAACGAGCTTTCTTTATTTTCACATCAAGCTGCGTCTAATGGACACACCATGCGCTCCAAACAACACACTGATTCTCCTGCTTTTATTGATTACCTGCTAAAAATACAAAAGAGATGTGTAATTTGTTTTAAATCAATGGCACTGCTGAGAGAGTCTCTTTCTCCACCAAGGGACCCGATAAGCATTGCGGAGAGAAATTGCAGGGACTCTCTGACTGACACGTCTACTGGCGTTGGATCGCAGCGGCGGCGGCGGCTCAGATGAAGCTATAACGGGTCCGTTTAACGAATAAAGAAGCACAGAGAAGCTGCCGGGCCGTATCAGTGACCGACGTGGGACTTCTTAACTCCCCCCACCTCAGTGACAAGAGGTCGGACGTATTATAAGGCATTTCTTTGCGGAACGGGACTCCGAGGGGACATTTCTCTATTTCACCGTGAAGAAAAAGAAGCGACTAAATGGGCTGAAAATAATTTAAAAAGTGTTGGTTAAAGAGCACTCTTGACCTCAATTAGTAAGTATTTCTCCTCTGGGTGCAAAGTGGTCGCTGCCATATGATGATGGTAATACTTTGTTAGGAAACCTTTAAACCGTGTAATCCTGTGTAGAGGCACGCACCGCATTTTCTCCACAGATATCAACACCGCATGTTGCTCCTCAAGGATTTGAAAGGAGTAAACAGGATGTTTTGCTGTGTCTATAAATACTGCTACGCTTCAATAACTCTTCCCTTCCGGGAAGCTGTCACTCCGAGACTGTTCTGCTTTGCTACTTCCCCACAAACCAGGTGTGCTGCAGAGTCAACGAATTGTGGCTCGGAATATCAGTCGTTTGAGATCCAAATCAGCAGCAGATATAAGGAGCGCGGTCTCACTCCCGGGACGGTAAATGCTGAGGGTTAGCCCGCGGCACCTCTGCTGTGGAACAACACTCTTTACCTACTCCTATCTTAAACAAAACCAAAATGTGATTTTGTAGCCCTGAACCAAGCCGCCACCATTTCACAGCACTAACGATGTGTTGGTCTTGATAACATCCAAAAGAACGACGCCGCAAGAGATATGTATGAAGGAAAACATGCTTGTTAAATGCAATACTGCTGCAATATTATTTGATTAATACTTTTAAAATATTTGAATCAAAGAGTGACCCGGCCCTAGTTTTCCTTAGCATGTTACTACTTGATGTTCCAACAAGACGCACTACACATTACAGCACAGTTTGCAGGTCTAAATCTAGAGCCTCGCGTTCCAGAATGTGCTCCTTTGTATTAAGCTCTGTTGAGCTGCAAAATAGGACTGCCAGTCGTCTATCGGGCTTTGATAACGAAGGGTAATGCTTTGAGGCTGAACATTTTGATTCTGAAGCAGCTTTGGCAGAGACTCCCTCCCCCACAGAGTGCCCCCCACAGAGTGCCCCCCCCCTCGGCGATATCGAGGTCGTGTAGCTGCAGAATCTTAGATGTAGACTGTGCCGTGTCCCAACGAAAACACTGTGATATCTTATTACCAACATGTTTGATGAAACATCTGGGACTCCTAAGCCCAAGTTTCCTTGTTGCATCTCGTAATCCCCCCATATTTCCTCTCATCAATGCCTCACTTGTCACCGTTTGATCCATCCGGAAGACCAATTACATGTAGCAGGCACCCTAATTATCTCAAATTTAATTTAAGACACTCATTTGTTCCACAGTCAAGAGACGGGGCCAGCATTTATGCAGAGGAGCCCTGTGCTGCTTCAAGCAAATGGGCGGCTTTGAAATTGAAATACAGGCTTTTATGTATAAAGCACGAGGCCATTCAAGCCATTTAATCATGAGTCAGTGGCGTAAAAGGTCATTTAATTTGACCCTTGTCAATGCATGATATTTCAACAAGATGCGCTTGAAAAGCAGCATTTCCATTACTTTAAGCATAACACATCAATGGTTAACAATTCTGAATGTCAACTTTCAAATATTATCGTCCATCTTCTTTTTGATGCAAAAGTGACATCCTGAATCCCTAGAAACATGTCATTCTTCCCTGATTTTAAGATCCGCTATTGATTTATAAAGATTATAAACTTCTTACGAATTACCAAACACGTTTCCATTGGAGATGAAAATGGGACAGCAGTTTGTTTTCTGGGCACATTGTTTGTTTGTTGATTGTTTAGCTCTGGAAAGACTCAACTGATGAAGGTGAGGGAAAATGGCTGTGCCCATATTCAGCAGGGTTAGATTGGGTTGGAGAAATGATGAACATATGGGTGTTAATTCTCCACATGCTGGCCCAGAGTCGACCGCTGTCTGGCTTGGTCCACTTAGGTGCTTCGTTCAGAGTCAAACATTTCTTTACACTGTCTTGATCAGATCAGAATCAGAATCCATTTATTGCCAAATATGTTGCACGTAGAGGAATTGGTGCAATGTGAGAATAAAACAAGATAAAGTATTTTTACAATGCGATTGTATGATTATATGTGAACCGAAAAAGGAATAAACACAGTAGTACACCGCGACTCCTGATGTTGGTGCCTTATTAGGAGCCGATAAAGTCAGCTTCTCTTTAATTCAAAACAAACTTAGAGCAGTGGCATAATGCCAACATGCATAGAAAAGGCTGCTGTCAGTAACTATGAGATTGCTTGCGCGCATTAAATTACGGTGACTTCACCTGAAACACGTGCAATATTCTCAGCAGATGTGCAACAATGGCACTCTCCTTCTCCATTCTCACGGTTCAAATTGGATCTAAAAATAGAAACAGAGAAATTGGAGTAGACCGGATGAGCACTGAGCTGCCGTGACACATGTGAGCCGAGCATGTATGGGGTATGTGGGGGGGTCAGAACAGCTATGGTCCACTGGCTAAACTGCACAAAGTGGTGAGAAGGAGTAGTGAGAGGGGGTATAATTGGGGAAAAGGGGGAGGAAACGGCACTTTAACACTCACAGTCGCCATAAAATTGAAGTATTGGGGAAGATGCCGTGTCACACTTGAACCCGTGGAAAATGCACAAATTCAACTATTTCCTGAAGTTTTTAACACATTACCGCTATTCAGCTTTAGTCCATTTCATATGCTTGACGGAATGAATTGTCTATAGACAATATTAGCTATTCCGTAAATGAGATGCTCACTATGATGTTCTTGGTAAAAGGCCCCACAGAGCTGAGTACCAACCAGCTGTTGTCCGTTATTTGTGCTGATTGGACCTCTTGTCAGAGTCGGTTGTCTAGTCTAGTGCTTGGTTGACCCAGAAAAATACATTGCTTTTATACAGGTAATTATAAAATAAGGAGAACATGACAATCGGGGGGTGGGGCTAGATTGCCATCATCTGGTTGGTGTTACGGCCCTTTTGTAGACTCCAGGACAGTAAAACAACAATCAAAGAAAGGCGACAGAGTCAGGGTAAAAGGTGTCTTTCTAGTTTTTATTCTTACACAAAAAGAAGGTCCCAACAAGAGGGAGGGAGATGGTGGAAGATGGGACCTACAGGTTGTGCCAAACAAATGAAATGAATATAACAAAACGAGGCCTAGCTCACCACTGGCTCTTCATCCAAAACAAGTCAAACAAAATACCTTACCTGCTTCTCTAAAAAAGGACTAAAGGAAAACGTTACACAGGAGGCAACAACCACTACACCTAGTGTGTCTATACAAAGGTATACCTACGTGCAAGAATGTACAGGGTACCCCAACTTACTAAGGTCCTCAACCTCCACCTTACCAAACTCCAGTTTTGCTAGCAGCCAGCTAAAGCTCATGTACAGGAAGACTGGCCACCAGCCCGCAGCACAGAACACACCCACTTCACTTCTCAGGAGTCTTCCTTTATGGACTGCCACCGGAACTGCTGATTGCTTTCCACCTGTGTTTGGAGTTGGCCAATCAGCGTAATCACTGGGGGAGAGAAACCAATGAGCAGGAGGGAGTACGACAAGAACACATGCAGACCGTCCCCGTCTGGCATGTAACAGTTGGTTTAAAAGCAGCTTGTGAGCCAAAAACAGTGTGGGCCTCCCTGGTCTTCACCATAGACTGTTTATAAGGAGTGAACGTAGTCATGGTAACGTCATGTGTGTGGTTTATAGAGGTGTATAGAGTGGCGCATTTGACTAAGACATACTTTCTGTATTGCTTTGTTATGCAGCTACTTTGCCTTTATACAGTTTCAACAATCATCCACGCATTTGAATTTCACTTTGTCTTTGGTGCATCTGAAACACTGCGTAGGTGATAACAGATTCATACCTTGGGAGCACATTTCAACAACGTGTTTCCTATTTTTGGAAAAAAAGCTCTCCACAATCTATTCGGCAGGCATAAGCTATTTGCGTAAAAATGCATCGCTGGTCATAAAAGAAGGTAAAGTTTATAATTTTGTACTTTTCACAAAGGAAGGCGGAAACAAGAGGTGTACGGTATCTGAGATTGAATTGGTTGAAGTTCAATTATGGATGCTACTGTGGTCTTATCGTTTCCTTTCTGTCCCCTCGAGAGAGAGAAAAGGCGCTTTGACCCCGTAGAAACAAACGGAGCAGATAAACAGAGAGTCTTTGTGTCCTCGCAGACGTCACCTTTCCACCACACAAAAGCAAAAGCCGACGTTTATAATAGGCGCCCCCTCCTACCCCCCCCCCATGACTGGGCCCCAGGTTTCGCGGTGAGAAAGCAGAAGCGGTGCGACACAAAAGATGCCGCGTGAGTGTTTGTCTCTTTGGCGTGGACGTTTTAATTGGATTTCTTTGAAGGTTCAGATCAACCTCCAGGGTTCCCCTGTCGCTGGTTGTGGCCTCACACTCCCCACCCCCTCCCCCCCCACTCCTCTCTGATTAAATCGTCGCGTGTTCCCTCTTGCCGCTGTTCATCACGTCTGGACTTGCTTTGGATTGATTCGTGTTTCGCAAACAGGAAGTCCTGCATGGTCACAGGGGGACGGTTGGGCTGCAAACAAAGACAGAGGGTTCGCATGGTAGAAAAAAGAAGAGGCTGAACAGGTTCAAACGCCGCCGTCCCCCATCAGGCGTTACAATCTCAGCGATGTGTGAGATATGATTCCAACCGTGTTGTTGGTGCCTCATTGGGCAAAGGACAAGGAAGGCAGGGATAAAACAACGCTGTTGAATTTAAAGGACGGACGGATAACTTTGAATTTAACACAAAGAAGGATGACGTTCTGTTCCCGGACAGATCTGTGCCTTCCTGAAGACAGTCCTCTGATCCATTTAATCAGCCTGCTCATTTAAATCTCATTTGATACTTACTTAACATCAGTATCTCTCCATGGTGGCTTATTTTTAGGCCTTATAAATATTCAGCTCATCCGTGATCATCCTGGTTATAATCAAGTGTCGAACAATTATGTGCAATTAAATTATGCAGTGGCCATGAAAGCCATTCTCTACATTTACAGCATCAGACTTCTGAAAAGTTAAAGAATAGATTACTGAATTCGATAACTGTGATAACTGCGTGACAAAGTAATCCCATAACATGGCTAGTTTGGTAGCTGTACGCGAGCTTTCAATGGGAAATGGAGTTTTTCCAGTTATCAGGGAGATTTACAGAATTGTTAGCGATGAAAGTTTATTATTAAGTGTGAAAATATTTTATTCTTTGGGAAAACAATCTCACCACAAGAACCTTTCAGTTGCTGTTCTAGAAGTTTTGATCATCAGGTTCATGGTGAACATTGAACATGCAGAATGACTTAAGCTGCACATATACTACAAAAAACAAGGAAACTCTTCATGGTTAAATTTGACAGAGAGAAGTTCTGTCTCATTTGAACGCCATAAAAATACAAAATCCATCAAAAACTAAAAACCAAAATGAATGACATCTATGCTCGCTTGGGTTCTTCATGGTTCTTTCTACTGTTCTTGACCTTGTCGACAAAGTCACTATTTTGGTCTTCTGCCTCAAACGGCCTCAGCTTTACACCAGCTTCGGATTCCACTGCAGTGAGTCTGCTGGTGGCCTGAAGGCACCAGAGAGCCACGCCGGGCGCCAGTGGAGTGAACACATCCTGGAACATTGACGCGGACGACACACGTGCACTTGTCCTCTGGTGCAACGAGGATTCTCAGTCACCTCCAGCGAGCAGTAGAATCTGCCACCGCAGGAAGCAGTGATGCTGAGTAAGTCGTAGCTCTGCGTTTATTGTGTATCCGGTTCTAAGAGGCGGCTGGGTGGCTGTCTGTCAAATTTGACTAGGAGCTCTTCTACGCTGTTTTACTGGGATTTAGCTTGAATTCCCTTCCGCACAAGGAACCGCACAAGCGGCGGGCGAGTGCACCGGGATATCAGACGTGCCGTTACCCACACCGGACACCCGGGCGAGCTGAAAACTTTCAGACATTCTTTCAGTCCACTCGTGACCTTCTCGCTTGCGTTTTCAAAGCTGCCGGTGAACCCGCCCTCGACTTCCTCCCGCATAGTTAACGGAAAATGCGGAAATGTCACGCGAGAAGGTCGCGCTCATCGTCTATTGATGTGATAAAGGTTAATAAATATACCGGGAAGCCACTCAGGTGGAGACAGCTCTCCTGGGGCACCTGTTTTCCATTCTAATTACGCACTTTCGCCTTTGTGAGGGACAACACTCAACTTGCATTGTCTTTTCATTGCCTTTCGAGTGCCCAATTAGTTGTGTGATGTTTGAAGTGGGTGGCGTGGAGGCACCTCGAGGACTAATTTATTTGTGGCAGACCTACACTGTTGACTGACACCGCTGGCCATGGATGACGACCTCCGTTAATTGCATTTTTGGAGGAGGCAGTTAGCTGGTGCTCTTTGAAAGAGGTTTTTCTAGAGGACGATCTTGGACCCAGCAAAGTGCCCTTTATCTGGACCACGGAAACATTTCCCCGTTAGCTTTCGTTAGCTTTTGGGCTGTTTGAGCCGCACTTATCCAGGTGTGAAAGAGCATTTGGAAAAAACGAGACACTCTTCTAGTGTAATGTTGATTTATCTGTCAGTAAAGGTGTACTGCTGACACAGTTAACACTCAGTTAACTCTTACTTTGCATTTGACAGCCGCAACTTTCAACGTTTTAAAAATGGGACCTTTTACGCTTCATACCGGCGCTTGACAAGATACAGGTGGCTGACGGTTGGAACGCCAGGCTTCACGGCTAATATGAGATCATGGCTGATGCCTGAGCTCGTGCCCTCCGGGTGGCATACGGAAAAGAGGAATGTAGTCCTCACACTCCAAGACATCTCAGAACGTTCCTAATTGGCATAGCCTCCAATATAACACTATTTTTCACCTCTCTTTTGTCTTTCTCAGAGCCTGGAAGTATAAAAAAAGGCAATAAGGTGGGACAACGGATAAATCAGGATTAGCTCTTGGGGGTTACTGCTAAGAACGTTGGGTTCTGATTGAGCAGCCTGCCATAAACCTTCACTAAGTACTGCACGGACTCGTGGGCGCCTCAGAGGACAGCAACGGCATCCTTAGCTGTCCCTGAAAGCTCGTCAAACCCCACTTCTCCACACGACAGCTGGAGCCAGCTACGCCGCATCAGTGGTCGCGGTGTCGTCTGTCATCACCACCAGGCCTGCAGGGAGAAAACTCCAGCAAGGGCAAAAAGCTGAGGAGTAACAAGGATGAGAGGACTTGAGGGGGAGGTGGGAGCGGAGCCAGAGGCGTCAACGAGGAGGTCTTGACTTATTTTTAACCCTAATTTATAGAAGCAGAGGGCGATTTTTACACGTAAAAGTACGTGGTTATTAGTTTCAACAGCTTGCCTACAATTGACAGCGCCTCTTCCACTTCAGCCTCTCCCGCTCTGCCAGGCTTCCATGCAAACTCATAATCTGAGGCGAAAACTCAGAGTTTGAGTGCAAAGACCAGGCAGGGTGCCGAAGTATTTACCAGATGCCACATATATCATGCTGAACTTATGTGGAAAGGGTGTCACACAAAAGACTATTCTGTCACATGAAAAATCTACGCTAGATAATATTTACAGTTGCACCATATTGCCTATTTCTAGAGTCTGCGATCTGTCATTTGTCTTGCTGGTGGTTTGTTTTGATTTCAACAAAGAAATTCCATCCCAAAGCGATCCTCAAAGCGCTATTTCACCATCTCTCTTCCATTTTGTGAATATCAAAGATGAAAACAGATGCTGAGGCTTTATATTTGACTGTCACCATGAGTAAGAGAGGTTCCATATTCAAATTTATGCAGCAAACAAGTGACTGGGGAGGGACTGTCCTTCCATCAGTTTCTCATATCTACTACCCAGGGCAATGTGCAGAGCTCTGATGGGTGTAGAAACATAATTACAGACCTGATGCATACGCTTAAAACTCCCCTCCTTCGACTTAACAAGCTCGGTCTCAAGGCGCAAACTGTTTCTGATTTACATATGCCAACTTTTCTGTGCAGATTATAGAACGTTTTTCTGTGTTGTGAATCTTTGATCTCAGCTTTTACTCCCTTGTCTTCTTTTGCATTTTTGCCCTTTTCGACGAAAATAGTCAACCGCATATACATATACATGCATAATGTTTCCACTGGATACGTTTTATGTACGTTTCATAACAGCCTCTTTTTAGAAACACAGAACGCCTCGCTTCTCTAACTCCATTTTCCACAGCCTCAATGGCTACTGTCTCTGTGGAAAGCTCTTTATGGGTCTCTACAAGAATAATCACTCTGCTCCTGACTGACTCAAAGGTCAGCTCCATCCCCCAGGCAACAGAATATCGTTTGTGACAGGAGCCACACCAGTTTGAATCACTTGACCAGTTGAACAGGAGCTGGTAAGACGCACCAACCAAACCTTTGACAGAATAGATTCTAATTCATGACGTTTTTTCAGACTTGCAAATGTTGCATCGTGAAATCGCCACTTCATAATGTCAGCAATGACATTCACGACATGCATAATGCAAAGGACACACCGATGCAGAGATGCCGACGCCCGTGCTCAATATGGTGGTGATCATCTAGAATACTTCATTGTAACATTCAAGGTACACATAATTTACGGCAGTAAGAACTGCACAGCTTTTGAGCAGTCGTGTGAGGGTCTGAACTGTTGCGTCATTTCACAGCAAAGAGGACACACACACACACACGTCTTCATCAGCATTCATACGACAAATCTTTCCCTGCCTGCACAACCCAACCTACAAAATAGGTTTTTCAAGAACGGAACACATTACATATGCATCCTCTTGAAGAACAGAGGCTCTGAATAGATCCCCACAAGATAGACCTCTAACCGAAGAGACCATGCATGTTCAATAGAACTCTTGAAACTAAGTAAGGGCAAATTGCAGGCCAAATGGTACAGAAGGGGAATAGCAGAGTGGCTTCGAGTGTTGACCCAATTCTACTGCCAATATCCTTGGCAGAAGAAGTGCCTTTTGTCTGCACCCTCAAACAGCGGAATATGATCAATTTCAGCCTTCATTTTCTTTGCCACAGCTGAGGAAGGATTTGTGTCAAAGGCGTCTCTTGTTTGAAGGCATGAGAGAGCGCGCTGATGAGAAAGAGCCTGTTTACTACTGTACACGCCAGCCTGGGAGGGAAATCTCTGCGATGACGCGACGGAGCTTTGAAGTCTGCTGATGGTTTGATGTTGCAGCAGTCCAGTAGCTTACCGAGCCATGAGGAGCCTGTGCTTTCCCCCGAGGGCTGTATCACCTATAAAATAACCGTCCCGTTCAGCAACACTGCAGTAAATACGGTTTGAAATGTATTTTCTCACCACCAGAAAAAGCTACAAAACCCAATGTCAATGCAATGTCAAATGCAAACATAGTCACTTGACCTTAAAATGTAACAATGCTGTTTTGTTGTAGCGGAGCTCAATTTTCAGGAGACCAGGCCGCGTGTCACACAGACAGGCAAAAAAAGGACCATAAATTAGGGCAATAATAAGTTCCCCGCTATTCAGCTCCCTTCTTATCCCGTCCTGCCGAGAAAGAAACTGAGCAAAATAATCCAATCACGGCTTTTCCATGGATTCCATTTGCTTTTAATTGCCTTGTCCGTGCTTTGGAGGTCGCTCGCCACACTGGAGAGACGGGGAAGGGCGCTGGCGGCTAAATCTACGAAATGGCTCCAATTCCCGGCGGGATTACCAGCGTCGCCTCCAAAGCCGTCACCCTCGGTGGAGCACCGGAGCCCCACAGCCCGTCCGATGCCGTTTTATCGCGCAGCGCTGTGGGCCGTCCTGCACCGCTGCCAGTGTGTTGTTTTGTGCGCTGAAGCCAGAGGCGTTTATATACATCTCTATTTTTAGTGTTGTACCGCTTTGTTGAAGTTATTGGGCACCAAAGAGCCAGCAGTGTCTCCGCCGTGCATGGAGATCCTAGCGCACAACTGAAAAGAAGGTTCCCTCAAGGGTTCTTTTTTGTTCTGCGACTTGAACGAGGCCTTACTCTTCACATTGCAGCCTGATTTAATTGATAACGGCCTCGAGCGGGAAAAACCATTTCAGTGTGCTGATAGGCTTCATTAGCTTTAGTTGTTACTTAGTCAGGTTTTAAATGTATTGTCCCCTGACAAAAGATCGCTGGGTAGTTTATTTCCTTTTTTTCCTCCACCCACCCGCCTCTTCTTCCCAGAGGCTGCATTTGGCGTTTGAAGGCGAAGCAGCTTTTACAGCTGCGCCTATGTGGAGAAGAAGAACGAGTCAAAGTGGTGGTGGAATAAATGTAGCAGCAGCAAAAGCACGAGGAGCAGAACGTTGAGTGGGGTATGCTGTCTGCGCTGTGTGTATCCAGATAAAAGGGATTTTTCGGTGGAAAAACATTCATTATACATTCACGAAACCCCGAGTAAAAAAACAGAACCCCTACAAAGAGATTACAGAACAGAGAGGGAGCTTCAGAGGAGCAGCAAGTGGGGCACCATGTATTTACACACACAGACCACGTTCTCCACGGGGCAATTATGGGAAAACCTTCAGGTCTCAATATCAAATCAAATCTGCGCTGAAAATTTGTATTTAAAAACATGGCATCGATTTGTGATTTTACAGATACCGTAAGTAGCCCAGCACGGTTTGATTCTAATCTAACATGGAGAAGCAGCGTTCACTTTTTCTGCTCCGCATATCTGGAACAAAGTCCCAGAAAGCTGCAGGTCTGCTGAGTCCCTCAGCTCCTTTAAATCCAGATTAAGGGATTTTCTGTTCGCTGCTGCCTTTAATTGACCGATTGTGCAATTAAAGACATTCTTAAACTACACTGCAAATTTTATTCTATTCTTAATCTTTTGACTCTTTTATGCTTTTAATGACTGTTTTTTTCTTTTATGTTTTGAATTAATGTTCTTAACTGTTTGCATATTTTTAATAGTTTTATGTGAATTGCCTTGTTGTTGAAAGACGCCTTACAAACAAAACTTCCCTGATGTGCTAATGGCTGCAGAGAAAAGCAGAATCTTCTGTTCCACTCAAAAGCTGCTGCGCTGGAGGCAGAGGAACATGAAGCTTTCCCAGAGACGTTATGTTCTTGCCAAACAGTGCGCTGCCTTTCTGCCACCTCCCTGCTGAGAGTGTTCTCCTCTGCACAGCTGCCTGCTTCTGCCCCCCAACACGTACGATCCTCTGCGGATCCGGATTTCCAGGCTTCGAGAACGTTGACTGGTGAGATATTTTCAAGGTGATGCTTTTGAGATATTTTCAAGGTGATGCTTTTGAATTTCATTCCTTAAACGAATAAGCAGGACCAAAGCTGTGGCATTGGGGAATAATAAAGGGTATAATTTCCCTGCAAAAATCTGCCACTGATTTATGAAAATAATCACCAAAACCTCAACGTCAATCCTCCAAAGCAAAACGTGTGTGGAGAATACGGTTTGATTAAGTCATTTTGAATTGATCATGAACCACTTACAGTACAATTATAGATGCTAGTCTTAATTACAGAAATTGATGAGGTAATAGATGAGTCACTGCCACAAAAAAGAAGCTTGCTAACTGTTGATTATAACTAATTATTGAACACATTTGGAAATGCAGGATTAGGTCTCAAGAAACTACGGGCTTTACGGACACAACTCCCAATATGAGCTATTTGATATCATATATATGATAGGATTCCTTCATGAAGATGAGTCGCTGGGAGACGAGTAGATGCACGAGTTGGAGGATGATGCCCGGAGATAAAATAACATACTGCCGTATGCCTGGTGGTAAAATAGCTTCGTTAAAGTTACCAAAAATAACATTCAATTTGCATCGATTGGAGCTAAATGGGTGGTCTTTCCTGCATGAGAAAACGTCTCATTATGCTGCAGATCGGTCTCACAGGGAACGACACACAGTCCTGTTTTCTTTTGCCCCTTTTCACTGTTGGCAAGCCGCCTTTCACCTCATTAGTACATTTAATTTCAGCAGAAACTGAAAAAGACACAAAGCAAAGAGACTTTCATGAAGTACGATTAGAGACACAGCGTAATCCAGTAATGCAGGCTTGGCTACTTTCGAAGTATGCATATGGCTTTGACCTTTTAGTTTGGTAATGTAATATTAATCGAGCACTGAATGTTATATAACGTCCACACAGGCTACAGCAGAACAAAGATAATGCATGAGTTCATTCATAATGCAAAGTTGTTCGAAGGAGTGTAATTGAAGTTATTCTCATTTCTTAACTCAGCATCAGCATTAACGTAGCATCATGACATTTGGTAGTAGAACTGATATTTCTCATGATTAATCTTTTGGAATGAAGTGGTATCACTAATTCTCAAGTCGAGACCTCACCCTGTTTGTGACCCTGTTTCTCTATTTAATGCCGTATTTTCCATTGACGGGACCCTCGACTTTGCTTTTCATGCATCTCATCTCTCAACTCTCCAGCCATTTCCTCTGAGCTCGTGTTCCGTCAGATGAGAGACGGAGAGAATGAAATCATAGACAAAAGCCCGGCTTCCTTCTGGGCTTTCCAAATGAAAGAGACCTCCATCTTCACTTCAAGGGCCGAGCGAGAGGAGGCGGATGAAAGAGCAGCTGGGTTTTACTGAGGCATCTGAACTCTGCGCGCTCTCGCCATGCGGGATATCGGCCGCAGGAACTGATGTAACATTTAGGGTTTGCTCGCAAAGCACACGCACCTGTGCAGGTAAATCAGCGAATAGATAACTCCACTGATTAGAGGTTTGTTCCCGCGTTAGAACAGCTCCACCATCCGAAACAGCGGCGTAATTCTCACAGCTACACAAACATTGGTTGTACTTTGGAAAGTGTCGTTGAAGAGTCCTTTGAAATATGAGGAGTTTACATGTTTGCTGAAGGTTGGTAGGAGGTGGGCGGTGAACTGAGCTGAGTTTTAGGTCCCTCCTTTGCCTTTAAAAAATATCTGCTGCTTTTTATGTCAAAAGCATCAAGTTTGGTACTTCAAAGGTGAAATTTGACTACTTCCATACTTTTCGCCCTCTCATCGAATTGCTGTTCTAATGTGTCCTTTTTGCATATACCTGTGTAGCTTTAATGTAATGTGTGGTTCTAGTCACAAATTTGCCCAAAGGTGTCTACTTTTCACTACATAAATGAATGTAACATAAAAATATGTTGTCCGTATTGTTTGAATAAAGCTGGTACTCATGTACGGTTGTGCAGTCAGCGCTTCAATGCTAAGCTTCGTATTCTTCCTGTTACATCAATCCACGGCTCTCTGTCCAACATCACAAAATTCAGTGAATAAAAAAAAATTAAAACTCTCTCTTCTCATGGGTTGACCCCTCAGGCTTTACAAGTGAATATATATCGTAAAGCTACATAGTAGAGTCCTGTGTAGACTGAACGCATCACTGTCAACATCTGGACTTCTCAGTGCAGCTGCGTGGACACAAATGAAGTGTTTAAAAAAATAGATGGATAAAATAGACCTGCAGGCTGGAAAATAGACAGAGATCATGTCTTCACCCTGTCTAATCCTCCTCATTCCTGTTTCATTCACAGTGACAATCCTCCCGCAACTGTATATAACTATCTGCTGATTGATTCAGTCACCATAAGGTTGTTTGTGAAAGCAGCCCGAGGTCGTTTTCATCACACTGTGTTATTCTGACCTTATTCTAAGAACTGCTGGCCTTGTATTGCATGTGGGCATCATTCCTCACCTGGCCGTCCTTCTCTCTGAACAAGTGTTCCTTGTTTACTTGTTAAGCCCCAGTATATCTATATATATCCTTATATAGACTTTTTTTTATATCCATACGTCATGTGATTGCAAGGTATTTTCCACTGATTCCACTTTTGCTGCACATCTACAGCTCCCATGACAACATGACGATTATTTAAACTCATTGAATAAGTTGCTATATTTGCTAAACAGTTACCAAACTCAATGCTTTGCATAGAAATCACATGCGAGTGGGAAGTGATTAAAGAAGGTCAGGGTCCTTTTTTTTTCCATTCTTCTTATTTTCAAACATGCTCAAAGACCTCTGTGTTGCACCTGGATTTACACACAGAAGGAAGGAAAGCTTTAGAGGGAAAACTGTTATTGAGTTCTCACCTTTTTCCATCTGACTAGTTGCTGAAGAAGGTGAGAATGAATCTCTCTGAAACGCACCTCCAGCTTTTAGTCAATCCAGCCGGCCCTTCAGGGGTCCTCACAAATACTACTGTGTGTTTATGGGCTGTTGTGTGTTCGCCAACACCAATAAATGATAAATAGACTAAGCTTTTCCAGACTCGCAACCTTCACCCATTCACACACATTCATCCGCTGACGGCAGGGTCCACCGTGGAAGAGAACAACCATTCATTTACACAACATTCAACCAACGGAAGGCCCAGTCGGACCAGTGGAGGCGGGGAACGAACTGCTGTGTCATCTGATGGGAGAACGACTCTGCTCCGCCATTGAACCACAGTCACCATATCATCTTCCACCCATTGAGCATAAGCTGTCCATGAGGTTTTAGAAGTGCACATCCATTTCACAGTAACAACAGGAATAATGGAAATGGTTCCTTTTGTTATTCTGGCGCCAACACAGAGCGCAACTCTGTGTCTATGCTTTTATTAGTGTATAACAATCTGGAACAGACAGAACAAACACTGCTTACCTGAAGGGGCCTCGTCGGTCTCAAGACACGCTTGGACCGGAAGGACCGCGTGGAGGAGGAGGTGTGTTCAGTCGGTTCCAATCGTCCAGTAAGTCCTACGCACGTAGGTGTTTAGCAGCTTGGTGCTTCACCCACACACTCTTGTTGCAATGTAGGAAAGTACACGTGTACAAGTACAAGGAACATTTCCATCACATGGCTTTTGTTTACGGATCGCAAGCCGTTCTGAACCCGACTTAAGACCCCTACAAATATATTCACAAAGGAAGCATATAATAAATAATGACGTGTGGGGAAAGGTAACACATGTTGAGTAACACGTGATGAGACAGATTTCCCCCTTTCTGTTGAGTAGCACACGCTGCCTTCAACACCTTACCAAGTCTTTAAACCAGGATGCCAAGTCACCTGCATGACGGATATCGCCACCGCCGTTCTGGAAATGTCGCTTTTTATTCTGCTGCTTGACACGAGACAGCCAGAATACACAAAAAAAAAAACCTTGGCATTTCTGCCTCGTCTATGACATTTACAGAAACACACACAAACACAGCGACTGTGTAAACCATCAGAGGTTGGTTCCACGAAGGTTCTCCAATGAACTATAGCGGCGCCGCGTTTACACCCATTTCATTACTTCTGTTTAATTTGCGCCTCCTCGCTCTGTTTTGTGGCGGGCGGCTGGTCGATGGGAGAGGAACAACCGCCTGGACGCGCTTGTGTCTCTGATCACTACAGGAAGTGCAGGATGACGACCCAGAGGTCCATCAGTCATACATGACAAAAGCTTCCCTTTATAAAAAACAACTGGAATGACTTTTAGAGCCGTGGGACCTCTCACATCAGATCAGATTTCACAATGAAATATAACAATTATTATAATTTAAGAGCAGAAAGTAATTCATCTAATTGTCACAGCGGGCAAGTGAGCTGCTCACATTTTTATTATTGTTCTAGTGGAAACACAAAGGATATTTCAGGCAGACATTGAATGCCAACGATTGCTGCAACTCAGGTCCGACTTCACGCCAAGTTTACATCGCTCAAGTTGGCAGTGACAGAAAATCGGTTCAACATGCACCCTGATTACATTTGCATAGTTTGCTGTGAAATAATTTTCTTTAAAGGAGCTGTAAGGAATCTCTGACCTATTGCTATTACTGCAGCTATTGTGGTGCTGGTCCATTAAAAGATACAACTTGTTTTTATACCTTTTTGGTACAGTAAAAAAACACATTCAATTATGTGAGCGAAGCTGCTCATTTGGTGAGGGGAGTAACATTAAATTATGGCTTCACTTCTATTCGTTCCTTTTGTGGACATCGATTTGAATCACACATGTACGCTCCGTATGCAGGAGAAGTGGTTTCCTGGATTTGAGGCTCGTCGTGTGGCACTGAGGGAAGGTATGATAAACGTGAATGCTGAATGAATATGAAAAAGGTCAATGGCCCGGTTTTAGCAATGAGGCAACACCCTCAGATCACTTGAAACCACATCCAATGTGACATTTAATCTGCATCAGTAAACCTGTGTGCGGAGCCTATTGTCGCAAGCCTCCGCCAAGTGTCATTGAATGAATAGTCCTCCGAAATGGCATTTTGGAGGACTATTCCAACGGAGGAAAAATCGCTCATCTTGCAGCCTAAATGAAATATTTTTGAAAACACCTCCTGATAGATTTCAACAGGAGAGAAACAAAGTTTGTTCGTATTCGCCGATAGATGTAAAATATAATTGCTTTGAAATCAAATGACCCCAGAGTGAGACGACGACCTTGGTAAACACATACCACATGACCACTGACGTGCACTGGGCATGCACGTGTGAGTCTACACCGGAAGAAGACGATGTACACACTGCAGCTGGTTTGGTTGGAGAAATTCAAAAAGGACGTTTGACGATTCCACCTCTTCAATCTTTCTTCGCCTTTTCTCGCGAGTGTCCAAGTCATTGACAAAGCGTCCCTGCATTAAAAGAATCCCGTCTCTTGTCGTGAATCTTCATGAACTATTAATGAATGGGCATTCATAAAGAGTTTTGCACAGTGCACCGTGTGCTTTATTCCTACATTAGCATCCTCGCTGGGCCGGACAGACGTTGGGCCTGAACCGACGTTCCCCGTCTGTCGGCCACAAGCACATGAAAGCAGCGGGTCGTGCCGGACCACATCTGGATGAGCAGAGGTTCGCGCAAAGGGAGTCTGTCGCGGATGAACATCAAAGCTCATCCTCCCTTTTAATGATTCGGGTGGTGCACCTCCTGCACGTTGCACATCTCAGCTCCTGAAGAAACAGCTTTGTAATATTTAGTGTTAGAGCCGACATCTGCGTTCATTTAGTACGTTCGCACGGGAAAATCGGAAATTAGAGAGTATCAAATGAGATGTTAAAACAGTTTTACCAAGTCCAGAGGGAGCAGCACTACTTTCTGACAATGTGCTCACGTCACATAAGCATTTATCACTTCGGGGCTTTCTGTGGCGAACCGAGGCGTCCGGCAGGGCAGACGTCTGTGTTTGTTCCCAAGCAAAGCAGGCTGCTAATGAGTGGAAGCCTGCACTAAGAATGTTGTGTGTTAATTCCTTCTCTCTGCAAAACGAGGCCTTCTATAGGCAGCCATGGTCCCACCGAGCGCTCGTCCCCGCAACGCGGCGGCCGGCTACCTTTGTTATAACTTTTTCTGCCTGCCAGGAGAGGGATGAAGCTGCTGCCTGGGTTTTAAAACTTTCCCTGTCAAGTGGAGTCTTACAGACACAACTTACAGAGGGTGCTATTATTATATGCTGAGCTACTGAATAAATACAAATATTTGTGAGAATCCCTTGAACGGGAAACTGGCAAAGGAGCAACAGTGTGACAGTAAAAAAAAAAAAACAGACCGCAGCCCCGGTGCCTGTGTCGCCCCTTTAGGGAAAAGCTGAGCAAAGATAACTTTTTATTGCAAAGCCTGTCAAAGCCGTTACAGATGAGAAGTCCCTTTGTGTCCTCACTTACTGCAGCCTTGCATCACTGCACAGATCTAATCTTGCAAGAGGAGGAGGAATGGGGAAAAAGTGCCCTTTAAGTTTGTGATTAAATGGGTTTTAACTGGTTCCTCCACATGGTGAGAAAACATGGCCTTCAGTAATTGAATGTCAATAAGTCTGGAGGGAAAATATGTTTAAAAGGGCAACATTTCATACCAGCCGAGTATCCCATCGCACACGGTAAGAGTTGTGAAATGTTTAGGCGGGTTTAGGCTTTCAGGGTCGGCGGGCCGCTGCTCTGTGTCCGTTTAATTGATGAGTAAGTGCTGTCGCCTTAATCGAGTTCGGCAGCTCGACACTGACGCCGCTGTTCAAACACCTCCTCTGCAGTCAACAGGATGAAATCAATGTCAATTATTTATCCCCTTTGTGTTTTTAAACTGTCACTTTATTGGTTTGGGTATGAGGATGATGATGATGATGATGACGATTAGAGGTTTTGTCATTGTGTCAATTGCACAGTCAAAACCCTAAAGGTCCAATAGGAAATGTAGCTGTTCCCAT